ATTGATATGTTGAACTTTAAGTCCCTACAGAATATGATGAAAAAACATTTAAAAATTAGAATATATTTTAAAAATAGGCATAAAGAATTATATAATTCTTATGTTTACACCTAAGTCCAAAAATCTAACCATGTACCATCTGGAAACAGGACAGTATCCTCTGCTTTTTCTGTTCGGAACAAATTCTCAAGGTGTGCTGAGCCGGAGCATCGACAGCCTGTGGCCGCTGGCTCGGCTGCTGCAGTAGCAGCAGCTGCCGGGGAATCCTCCGCAGCGCCGAGTTCTTAGCATTTGGACTTGGTCTCTAGGGGGCACTCGTGCTGTTGTCCGAGCGCTGTCCCTTCTGTGTCTGTTATTTTTCCTTTGCTTTCTTCCTCTGGTATGACAATTCTTTTCTACTTTTTGTCCTTGCTTATCTTTTTTCTAATTTTTCCTTTTCCGTCCACTGAAATGGCCATAATGACAATGACATTAAATGTTTTTCTGAAAGATCTACCCCTGAGAAGTGTGTGCCCCATGCCCACTTGGAGCCCCAGCTCCTGAGCAAGCCTGCAGAGCTGCGCCCAGCTCTGCTGCCCGCGGTTGATTCCGCTGCAGGAGCTGGCCAGGCAGGCCGCACACCCGCTGCAGGCAGCTCTTGTGCACGTGCCCTGCGGGCTCTGGAGTGACCACACAGCCCTGTGTGTGACGTCCTCTTGGGGCTGGGAAGACTGTCAGTACAAAGGTCACCCTACACAAGTGGCACTTAGATGTGGCACTTAGAGCAAAGTTCTGGAACATTCGTCTCTAACACAAGTGATACCTCATTCTAACCAGGTGGTCTACGGTAGGGCTGAGCCGCAGAAGTGAGAGAGACAATGTCCAAACTGGACATTGTGACCCTACATAAGTCACTGCTTCTTATTTTTTTTTAAATCATTTATTTATTTGGTACAGAGTCTCGCTACACAGCTGGGACTTGTAGTGATCCTCCTGTCTCAGCCTCCCCAGTGTTGGGATTACAGGCATGTGCCACCATGCTGGTTCTGGGGACTGCACAACCCAGGTCCTTGAGCTTGCCAGGCAGGCGCTTAGACCACTGAGCTAGCTCCCCTGCCCCAATAACTCATTTCTGATCAGAACAATTCTGAAATATAAGTTCTATTTATATTTTCCACCTTGGCTTGGGACAAAGGCTCCAGAATTCCAGCACCTGCTGTGCAGACCGGCCGGCAGTGCGCAGCCCCTTAGCCTGTTGAGGACTGCTGCTGCCGCCTAACACTGGCCTTCCGGCTACACCAGGAATCTTTCTGCTCCAGCCAAGAACCATAGCTCTCAAAACTCATGCAAACTTTTGTGAAAACTAATTGCTTTGGTTTTCCTTTTTTTCTTTTTGAATAATAACAAACTTCAGTAGAAGAGTGTTGGTGCATTGAATAACCAGACCCTAGTAAAAAAAAAGAAAGAAAAGAAAAAAATTCTCTGTACCTTTATAGACTTATTTTAAGATAATTTCTTGATCTCAGAAATGTCAGGGGTAGCTGGGCTTCCATCCAGTTTGCATCTCTGTGCCCAAGCACCCTCCTTCTGGGGCTGTGGGGAAGGTTGAAGACTGCCTTCCAGAGGCTGTGCCCAGACTGCAGCCCACAGCCAGCTCAAACCGCAAAGTGCCGTCAGTACAGGGAGCCGCATACCTGGGCTGTAGTTTAGAAAAACAACTCCCACAATAACATCTTTGGCCTTAAAAACGATGCACATGCGTAGGTTCACCACCACTGGGTTAGTTAGTATTGGCCAAGGGTTTAGGTCAGGGCTGCGCATAGTAAGCGCTCAGGAGACAGCCGCTGCTGCTGGCTGCAGTGATAGCAAGGAGACATATTGCGTCTCAGCTTTCAGCCCCCACAAAACCACCTTCTGCCATGAAGGGGTGACTTCACCATTTGTGGCTTCGCAGTTTCCCTCTGTAGGGCAAACGTGCTAACCTTCACTTCATCTGGACTCAAAGCTGTTTCCACCTTCCCTTATTTTCCAGACTATATGTCGAAAACCAAAGACCTCCACTGACCGACACAGCTTGAGTCTCGATGACATCAGACTGTACCAGAAGGACTTCCTGCGTATCGCAGGTCTGTGTCAGGATACCGCACAGAGCTACACCTTTGGGTGTGGCCACGAACTGGACGCGGAAGGGCTCTACTGCAACAGCTGCCTGGCACAGCAGTGTGTCAACATCCAAGATGCTTTTCCAGTCAAAAGAACCAGCAAGTACTTCTCTTTGGACCTCACGCGCGATGAGGTTCCAGAGTTCGTTGTGTAAAGGTCGCCTGCATGCAGCCTGCAGGGAGTCTGCTGCTGGCCGGGCCAGAGGCTGCGGGAGGCCTGGGCTCTTCAAGGATCACTTGTGCCATATTGTCTTTACCCTGAACATAGCTCTTGCTTTATAACATTTGTGATGGAAACAAAAGCCTTGGGACAATTGCACTTTAAGTATTATGCAAAGTAACAGAACCAGAGAATGTACAGCAAGACAAGTGCCCGTGTATCGACCCTTTGGGAAGAAGCGTGCTTTACGGGTGGAAGCCTGCAGACTGTTGGAGTGTGTGCGTGCTGCTCATTTTTTGTCCCCTGCTTCAGTTAAACATAACGTCTCTTTACCACGGGGAAGATGTTAGGCTGGCTTGCTTGGCATCTGTTTTATAATTCCTCCCACGTGAAATGGCCATGATATGAAGGAGAGAGGGGAGGGTCTCTCTTCTTTGAAGGAAATGTGCTTTACTGGTTTGAAGCCTTTAGACTGTCAGAGTGTGGTATTTGTTGCTCATGTGTTTCTCACTTCAGTTAAGTGCTACTTCTTTATCCTGGGAAGGATGTTAGGCTCATCTGTGTGCTTGAACATTTCTCCCCCTCCCTCATGAAGTGCTCATGGTTTGAGGAAGGAGAGGGAAGGGTCTCTCTGAACGGAGAGACCATGGCTTGGTGCACAGCTGCCGCCTCCTCGAGGCTGTCCCAAAGCAAACACCAGCGAAATGATCAAACTGCATTATTGTAGCAAGCCAAAGATACGTGCAGAGCAGGGTGATGTGACGTGAGCAGCGGAGGACAGCACGCGCCATGATGTCTTACGACCCGAAAGCACTCAGGCTCAGTTGAGTTCTTCATCATGTATCAGGCCAGTTATGCCCATGACATCATTCATTCTGTAGAGTTTACAGACTGGTGTTTGTTAAAACAAGAAAACTCACAGAAAAACATTTGGGTTTTTTGTTGTTGTTCTTTAATTAACAAAATCAAGTTACAGTAATACTGGTTTCTGCCTAACCAAAATATCCTCACTCTGTGGACATGCTTTACCTATGACAGTTCATGGAACTGTGTATTTTGTGTGTGTTGAAAGCTGCCTTCCTCTTCAGTTGGGCTCCACAGCCGTGTCACGTGCGTGGAAGTCCTTCTCCGTCACTGAACCCGTGCCGCGCAGGTACTCGGTGTACATACGTATGCTAGAGTGACTCTTTCCTCATGTGCCTTGGGCCATGATTCTCAAGTCGGAGTGCATGATAGAAGTGTTTGAGGAGCTTTTAGGAAGTAATAATGCCTGGATCTCACCCCCGACCACATAAATCAGTCTCTTGTGGGCAGGACCCAGGTGAAGTTGCCTTTTCTTTTAAAGTTTTCTACATGAGCTAATAGTAAGCAGGGTTCAAAACCACTGACTGCAGGGGGTCATTTTGTTACCGTTGAAGTGAAAGTGTACAGAAGATGTGTATGAGCAGGGCCACGCCCAAGGTGGCGGCGCTGGGAGGAAGGCGCGTCGGGGCAGTGGACGCGTCGGTAGCCTTCTGGTGTACAGTGGAAGCGCCGCCCGCACTTCACGACGGAACTTCATAGCACAATGTCTTTCTAGGGGATGTTTTTAATGATTTCCTATTTTTCAACATTTGTTTACCATATTTTGATACACCATTTTTGCTATCTGCCAGGTTTTATTAAAAACTATGTATTATTTTCTAAAGAAACGCTCATATTTTTGTACAAAAGTGTTTTCAGGTACCAAGAAACAGCTCTAGGGTAGAGCAGGACAGAACGTGAGGCGGTGTTAGCCCGGCGGGAGCCGGCTCTGAGCGATGGGGCCGCGCCCACGTGCCGAGCGCAGCGCCGGGCAGCGAGGCTCGCCTGACGCTTGAACAGAACGAGTTCTGCACAGTTCTACATTCATGAAATTATTTTGCTTTTAGTAAATGCTTTAAGAAGAAAACAAAACCAAAGCTTCAGATGTCCGAATGTACAAGTGTCTCCCTCTGTAGAGAAGGGTAAAATATGAAGGGATCATTTAACGACTGTCGGTCTCGCAGTCCCTAAATAATCCGCCGCTTCTCGCAGAGCAGTGGTGGCGAACCTTTAGCTTGTGCTGCGGCGGGTTGTGCGTATCACTGAGCGCTCCGACAGGTTGGCCGCCTGACACGATGCTTCAGAGACAAGCCCTGGTGTCCCGGTACTCCAGAAGGCCCGATCACAATGCCATGCATTGTCCTAGCCTGTGGTGTTTCTTGCAAAACATAAAGAAAAAGAAGTATTTACAGGATCAGGTAGTGCTTTGTATTTTTTCTCTACTCAGCCAGAATCGTGTCTTCAGGATTTTGCCAGCATTCGTGGTTTTCCACACCCTCTTTCTAATTGGATTTATGAATAATAGTCTTGTGGGTTTTCAAAAACGAATCACGCCAGGAAACACTTATTTTTTTCTGACCTACTGTTGGCAGCAGAATTATGTATATGTGTATGTGTGTGTATGAAAATCCACTTTGAATAATCTACATTTTTATATTTGGAAATTGTTTGAAAAAAGAAAAAAGAAAAATGAAAGTATAAAGCTGTTATTTATTCTGCATTTGTTACATATCCTTTGTTAGTAAGTATACCAGTTTGGTATATATTGCCTCTCTACATCACTTACATTTGTATTTGCAAGAATAAACTTTATATCTACATAAACTGTAAATAATCCTTTCTGTGAAAGGATCACATCAGCATGATACCAAAAGTATGTTTTAAAAGCCCGCATTGTTTTGTAATTATTTCTTACTGGCATTTCATGGTTAAGCTTAGCAGTCAATAAAGTTACTTTGTTTTTGCCGTTAAGGTGTCTTTTCTTTTATTGTATTTGGTACAGGGTCTTACTACCCAGCTCAGACTCATAGTGATCCTCCTGTTTTCAGCCTCCCAAGCGCTGGGATTACAGACATGGACCAGTACACCCAGACTCAGTCCCTGGGTCAGTGCGCCCAAGTAGGACCAGGAATCGAACTCTGGTCCCTGCACTGGCCAAAGCAGGCGCTTAGTCCACTGAGCTATGTTGCCAGTCTGGTTTTAATTTTTTTAAATAGTAGCAGATGTCTCAATAGTCCCACCTCTTCTCCCAAAAGGAAGTCCATTCCCTTTGTGCTCCAATTTCTTGGCTATAAAATGGGAATAGGAATCCCAAGGACTGTTGGAAGAATTAAATAAGGTAATAGCTGAACATTTATATGAAACAAAGTGATTTGGCCATTTGGCATCCCAAACCGAAGCGTTCCTTTGGGGTGTCCTGCATGCATGTTTTCAGAGCACCTGTGCATTCCAGTTAGAGCATCATCTGCACACCTCCTGTGCACCTGCTCATACGCGGTGTGCCGAGCCCTTCCAGTCCCTTCACGCTGAAGAGCAAGAGCCTGCAGCTAGCCGGTGATAGAACCACATTTTAAAACCTAATTGGATCCCAGGCTATTTCTGCTGCAGGATGCCGTGCTGCCTGTTGTCCTTAGAGAAAGCACGGACCTAACAGAGAAGATGGCCTCACAGTTTTGGTAGTTGATAAGAAACGTTTGTTGATCTAGCGATACATTTATCTCAGTGTCCTCTACAGGCCACACATGAGAGTTATGGGGTCACTGCTTTGGCAGAGAAAGGAAAGACCTAGACACAGAATAGGAGGCACGGAGATGCGAGACGGTTTTACTGGAAAATTGCGGGCTGAATGGGGACTTTATCAGGATGGGTGACATAACAGGCCATCCATCCAGGCAGAGGCTTAGAAGCGAGGGAACAAGAGCATCAAGGGCATCGTGGGACTTCTGGGCTTGAGTAGTCACTCTCTAGCCTTGTCCTGCACAGCCTGAGCTGCCCAGAGGAGGACATGGAGGGTTTTTTTCTAGATGGCAGGAAGCGACTACAGGGAACTGTAAATGAAGATGCATCTGGAACATGAGAGGAAGCACAGAGCTTGTGGAGGGCTGGAGAGCCACAAAGAGCCGCTTGGGGGCCTGAACTCCGGGTACAGTGAGAGAATCAGGCCTGTCCTATGTATGTATGTGTGTGTATGTACACAAGCTTGTCATTTGCACTGAAAGCGAGAGACATAGGCTACTTTCCTGCACTGCAACGTAAGCTACTGCTTTATAGGATGAACTCCAACCCACTCTTCCTTACAGTTGGCACAGCGGCCCCGCCTACTCTGTATCCATGTCCTCAGCTCTGGCTGCACATTAAAATGACCCGGCCTGGTGCCTTGTGGTGCACGCTTGGTGTCCATGTGGGTCAGGGTCACAACCTTGGGGGCTACAGCTGAGCCCAGCGGCTGCGGTCAGTTCACTTCTGTGGCCCATTATCATGCACCCTATGCGGGGTGGGTGGTTCTCCAGGTGTCCGAGTGCAATGCATTTTGTCCGCAAAGCATCTGAGAATGGACTGAAGTTCACAGGAGGAACTGGAATCAACATTTCAAAAACTCTGACTATGCCACGATCTCGAGACGAGCACATTACATACGGAACATGGGGCTGTCTGACTCAGAACAAGAGCATAGGCCAAGTACGGTAACCCACCTTTAAAGCTCCTCCCCATCACTGTTTCATTTGCCTCCTCATTTCTCATGCATTATACAAGCCGATCCCCACACGGATTGATAATGAAGATAAGTCAGCTGAATCCACCCAGCCCTTTGATGGTGAAGACGTGCTTTCTGAGTTAATGGAGAGGTCTGACCTCTGAAAAGTCCCGCTCCAATGCTGTGAGCTGTGGTAGGTGTGGAAGCTGCTCCTTCTCGAGCGACTAATCAAAGTCTGTAAACAAGGCGCACCTATAATCACCCAACTCATTACCTAAGGCAGGTGTTTACCCATCTCGGGTCAGCTGCAGCCCAGGAGGTCTCAGTGCCTCGCTGTCATTGCTGTCAGAGATAGATTTCATAAGGACAGAGAGTTCCCAGCTTAGGAAGGAATTGTGCTCCAAGTGTGCTTCTAAATTGGTCGCCTGACATTTAGAGCACGTGTTCCCACTTCCCCAAGTAGCCCACAAATGTCTGTGTAACCCAGAGGTGCTATGAGTGATGAGTCTTTCCCCGCGTATTAGTGGCCATCTGCCAAAGAAGCGGTCCACAGCCATGGCATAAGCAGCAGCCGGAGGACCCCCACAACCAGATAAGCCCACACCCACATTCCTGGGCCCCAGTAGCTCAGCCATCAGGATTTTCTTCTCACGGCTCCTCCTTGCCCAGCTCTACTAAAAGTAGAAGAAGCACTTAGCCAACCAAGTGAGGCGGCAGCAGCATAGCACTAGGTAGCTGTCTGACTCGGGGTTCCACCGGAACTGCTTCAGTGTAGTCTGCTGCACAACCCTGTCCCCAGCCCCCAGCTGCTCCAGGCTGCCCTGCGCTGTGAGTTGGCAGGAACAGCCCTTTTCTCCTGATCCACAGAGGTGGGAGTGAGCGAGCAGGCCTAGGAGCGTCTCGAAGAAGCAGAAGCCCCAGGGCTTTCTTTTTTTATTTTTATTTTTTAAAATGTATTTAATACAGGGTCTGCAGGGTTTCACTACACAGATCAGACCTATAATGATCCTCCTGTGTTCAGCCTCCCAGGCACTGGGATTACAGGTATGCGCCACCACCCCCAGTCTCAATCCCCATCTCAGTGTACTCCTAGGGCGGGCCTGGCACTGCAGGCCGGGGATCGAACCCCAGCCCTGCGCCTGCCTAAGCTGGCCACAGGGCTTTCTTAAGGCTGTGGCTGGACTGCTGCAGGGCAGGAGTCTGGTGCCGCAGAGAAAAGTTTAGGAGCCTATGCCAGAGCCCTAAGTGTGAGTGCATAAAACCATACAATTTATAGGAAGTTTTAAAAGAAGACCTAAATAAATCCATATACCATGCTCCTAAAAAGAAAGGTAGAATGATGTTAATGTCAATTCCCTGCCCCCGCCAGGTACAACCCAAATCCCAAACAAACTATATCAGTCTCAGTGGAGTGATAAGGACCAGTTTTACCATCCAACCTTAGATACTTTTACAAAAGAAAAGCATACATAGAGCTGGCCAAATAGCTCAGCAGATTAAAGCACCTGCAAGCAGACACAGGGGCCAGGGGTTTGATCTCCAGGCCTGCCCCTGAGGTGTGCTGAGACAGCAATTGAGACTGGGTATGGTGGCGCACGTCTGAAATCCCAGCTCTTGGGAGGCTGTAAACAGGTAGATCATTACACATCTGATCTAGTAGTGAGACCCTGAACACCCTTCCTTAAGATGAAAAAAAAAAAGAAAGAAAAAAGAAAAGTATATGTATAAAAAAAAAATGTTTTCAGGGCTGGTGAGATAGCTCAGCGGACTAAGTGCCTGCTTAGGCAAGCTCAGGACCTGGAGTTCGATACCTGGCTCCACATGCTGCCTTGGCCACAGAGACCGGGCGTAGATCATTATGAGTCTGAGCTATGTAGTGAGACCCTGTACCAAATACATAAATGAATGAACAAATGAATGAATGTTTTCAGTATTTGACAATGGCAGTGCAGTAAAGTTATTCCCCAGAGAAAGGAGACCAGGTAAACATTGTCCCTGCCCTAACTCACTGCTTCAGACTATAGCTAAGAGAGAAGAACAACTAACTGAAAGATGAGGAGCTCTGAAGAGTCACTGGGGGAAAAAACAAGGACACTGCCCAAGCCAGGGGTCAGTGGTCCAGGGACTTGGTGATCCAGGAGCTCAGGCTTAATCAAGGCGTGGTCCACAGCACCCAAAAAGATCAGAGGTCATGTTACATTTTCCAGCACATGCAGGAAACTCGATCCTTTTTTTTCTTGTTCAATGTCATATTCTTCTCAGTAAGTTTAAAAAAAACAGAAAGGAAAGGGAAAAAACCCACACAGGTCACATAGAGAATAAAGACTTCTAGAGAAAAAAACCCATTATTAAGATTGTCAGAGAGAAGCTATTTGACTCAGAAAACTGGAGAAGACTGCCAGAGAGAGGCAGAGGTGGACATACGAGTCCTCTGCAAAATATGATAGCAGGAATAAATGTTCTCAAAGAGTTGGAAGACCAAGGAAATCACTCAGAAGTCAGACCAAGAAGACAAGGGGAGTGACAGAAAGGGTAACGAGTTTCCCAGCATGCAGTGGTCGGTGTCAGTATGTCTACCTGCACGCACAGATAGCCCAAGCCCTTAGAAGCATGCACACAGTAGGGGGAAATCTTATGGGAAAATTCCTCAGAACTGAAAGGCAAGCATTGCCCAACTAGAGGGAAAAATTCAAGGAATGCCCAGAAAATGGGCAAGATTGACTAGCCTGGGAACATCATCATCATGGTTTTCTCGTTATTTTTCTTATTAGTACGTGTTTGCGCTGCATATCCTATCCACTCTCCATGGAGCTGGTGCCCGGATGAAGCACACCTTCCCCCTCCTCCATCCCTTTTCCTTCCCTCGGCCCCTCCATCTCTTTTTTTAATATTAATTTTATTGAGGAAAAA